ATTTCATGTAGTCTCCTTTTAAGTATAGAGTTGGCCCCCGTTTGATCCCCATTCTTTTGAAAAAATACATTCTTAAATAATGTTTTGATATCATTTCAACTACGCATTCTTCAATGAAATAATATTACACGTAAACTCAAAATTTTTTCTTATTTTTTAATCACACATTTTCCATCAATACACTATTCAAAAATGCATTATTATAAAAAGAATGGGGCTCAAACAAGGGCTTAATTTTTCATATTGGAGTACTCATAATTTTAGATTGATTAAATTAAGTTTAATTACTCAAAATCAAAGCTCATCTACATATATAATCATATTAAAAATATAATAAATATTATTTTATATGATAATTAATCTACCATTATATTAATGCAACCTTTAATATATTTTATTATATAATTATGATAAAATTATATCTATATATGTGAGCTTAGATTTTAAGTGGTAAACTTAGTTTAAATAATGTAATTTAAGTAATTAAACTTAATTCAATTAATGTAAAATTTTAAATACTTTAATATAAAACAATAAGTATTACATTGAAGTGAATATTAAATGCACTTAAATTATATTAAATATATAAGAGTAGAATTGATGTATAGCTAAAAATATAAGGGATTTTTGTTAAGAGCATTAATTCAATTTATTCAACATGAAATTGAAAAATGGGTATTGTTTAAGGAACTCAAATGATGGCCCTAAATTCTCATTTTGATAATAAAAAAAATTATTTTAATTTGATTAATAGCATTAATTCAAAATGAAATTGAAAAAAACAAATGTTTAAAGAGCTCAAATGATGGCCTTATATAACCATGTATAGAAATTTTAAAAAAAAATTAATTTAATTAATAGCATTTCACTTAAATGGATATTAAATGAAGTTAAATTATATTAAATTGTATTATATTAAATATATAAGGGTAGAATTGACATATAACTAAATATGTAAGGGTAAAATTAGTATTCAAAAGTTTCTCTTCAATCCACACTTTTAATATATTGTAGATAGATACTGGCCATCAAACAGTGGCTAATTCTTCTTGAATAAATAATAAAATTATTAATTCTTGGACGAAATAATGAATTTGTCTATATCCAACAACATATGTCAAAGTTAATAAAAACTTTAGTCTCTGTCAACATTGAATATTCAAAATTAGCACTTTGTTCTATATTCTTGTTTTTAAAGATATGGATTCTTAAAGTTAATAATTTGATAGAAAATTCATCTTGCAAAATTATCGTCGAATCTTATTGTGACTCACGTGTGAGATGGTCCATTAACTTTTGGAATGATATTGTTAATTTGTTGAATAAAACCGAAATGTCAGAAGAAATTTAATATAGGAGCTGATAAATAGACACATTGTTGTAGGATTCGATTGCATAAAAAATTTCCAAAATAAGTGGACCCTTCCCCTAATGTGAGTATTCTGTCAGTGGGTCGATCACCTATTTTCTAGCAGGTATGTAATTTGTTATTGCTTCCTCCGCATTAATTGGGTCAATTAACGGGCCTCAATATGGTATTTAAGCCTCTAAGGCCAATGTGTGAATTTTTACCCCAGAGCCTTTTTTTTTTTTTTAATTATTATTCCACATCGGCCATACTTCGACTTCTTAACTTTTTCAACATTTTACTTTTTCCGAGTAAAAATTTAGGATAAATTTTAAAATATTAATTATTACCATCTGAATTTTAGGTAATGTTTGATTGCTCCAATTTTTCCATAGAAAGTGGATTCCATTTTCCAACTTTTGGTTGTTTGATTGTCCAAAATTTTCCATAGAATTGAAATTCTCACTTTTTGCCACATCAGCATTTTCCATGAAATCATGGAATTGGAATTCTCACCAAAATGGTGAGAATTGAAATTCCCAGTTACTATAGCGATTTTTTAATTTTTTTCTATTTTTAAATTTTTGGCAATGAAATTAAATTCTAAGAATTATCGTAAAAAAATATTTCTCTTTTATTGACAATTTTCATATAAAATAAAATTAAACGAACACTAAAATATAGATAATTTTCTTTTATTTTTTATTTTTTATTTTTGTTGGCAATGGAATCAAATTTCATACCTAATACGAGTAAATTTTATCTCTTTAATTGACAATTTTCATGTAAAACAAAGCCAAACGAACATAAAAAAAACTTTTATTTCAATATTTTTCACGTGAAAAATTATATCAATTAAACACAATAATTTACAATTCCCAAGAAAATAAATTTAAAGCGATTCAATTCCCTGGAATTCGTTTTCAATTCAATTCAATTCCATCTTTACAATCAAACGGACCCTTAGATTACTCGCTATTTTAGGATAAGTCATTTACGACAGCACCCATGCTGCAGAAAACGGACGAGGCCACGCGTCTGGTACGCGGGATGCTAAAAAATTCTTCACGCGTTAAAATATGAAAAACACCGATTTGTTACTCCGTGCAACTTTGTCCACATGCACCCAAAGTATCTGTTCTAATCCTTAAATCACTATATTCTATTCTTTATAATAATTAAGGTCCCATTTCTCCTCTCACAGGCATCAAAAGTTACTTACTGTTTAATTTCTTAAAAATGTTTCTTCCTGTTAGAATTTTGTTTAAATAAAGTTGGTTCAATATGAAGTTTTTTAAAAGTTTTTCTTCATAAGAAAACTCTTTGGAAATTATTTTTCAAACATTAAGTTTCCGTTTGATCTCTATTAATTTTCATTCTATAACATTTCATTTTTCTCTCTCTTATTTTCAACCACACAATCTTTCATAAAATAATATTACACGTAAATTGAAAATTTTTCCTTTTTTTTCAACCATTCATTTAAAAAAAAAAAACTATTTCACCCATTTTCTTTTTTACAAAATGGGGGCTAATTAACGAAGTTTCTCCAATAAACTCTATTATGCCCTTGTCTGAGCCCCATTTTAGGAGGAAAAAAATACATTTTTGAATCGTGTATTGATTAAAAATATGTGGTTAAAAAATAAGAAAAATTTTGAATTTGCGCGGAATATTATTTTATTGAAAAATGTGTAATTGAAATGATATCAAAACATTATTTAATAATGTATATTTTTTTTAAAAATGGGGCTCAAACAAAGCTATAAGAAGTAGAAACAAAAGTCTTGTCATACGAATATTATGTTAGAATCTCACAAAATTGCCACTTTAATTTCTCCGAATGATGTAATCTATAAGTCATATTCAAGAGAGGTTGTTCATTTTTCTTACAAGGAAATCACATAAATCAAAAGAGAGCATTGAAATGTCAAAGGTTAATAACCCAATCTAAGAAATAAAGCTTCGAGAATTAAGTTTAACAACATGCACCTTTTAAAAATTATGACGTTAAAAAGAAAATAATTTTCAAAACATTTTCGTTACATACCATTACATATTGACTACTTAGCCCCGTTTGACCTCCATTAAATTCAATTACATTACATTTCATTTTTCTCTCTTCTATTTTCAACCACACAATCTTTCATAAAATAATATTACACGTAAATCGAAAACTTTTCCTTCTTTTTCAACCACTTATTTTTCAAAAAAAATACTATTCCTCTATTTTCTTTTCCAAAAAATAGGGACCAAACAGGGGCTTAAATTTTGAATCAAAACTTTACAACTGTCACGGATAAAAGTAACAAAAGAAAATATCATAATTAGAGAATATGCTTTTTACATAGTATTTAAATAACAATGAATGAATGAAGGTGCAAACTTTTCATGTAGGGGGCCAAAAAATTTAAGGGGATGAAAAATATATGCACTTGTTTGATAAAGTTTTTTCGAAAATGATTATTCTATTTTTTTTATTTTTTATTCTTTTGTGAAAATGTGGTTGAAAATAGGAAAACATTATTAAAAAAGGTGAAAATTTATTTATCTGAATAATGTGTGATAGAAAATAGGTGCAAGTGGTTCTCAAAAAATCAAAATTCAACCAGGACGGTTTCTTATTTATATCGAATTTTTGTTTTTAAATATTTTTAAAAAATTAAAATATTGTAGGGAAGATCATCACACACTTTAGTCTTGTCCCTTCGCCAGTCAATATAATAAATAAAATATTATTTATTATTTTCTAACGCTACTTTAGTACGACATTATGCACTTTACCCAATCAAACACGACATCCATTTCCAATTTATTTCTTCCGTACAAAATAAGGAAAGTGAAGTATTCCTTTTCTTTTACCCATTTTTCCTCGTATTGCATCCACTGTCCTCAATCTTTAACAATTTTTACTTCTACTCCCAAATTCTACTTCTTATTAATAAATAGTTGAAAGATATTAAAAAAATAAATAAAACAAAACCGCTATATATATATATATTATCCTTAATATAAGTAGACAATAAATAATTGCAAGAGAGACAAATTGTCAAATAATAAAAAGGAAAAATTAAGGCAAACTTCCCAAAATTCTCACGTATGACACCTATCATTACCACCACAAAATCCATGCCACCCCGCTACCACCAGATCTACATTATTGCATTCCAAGATTCAAAAATATTATTTTCCCATATCATATAGAGGCTAGTCGAATTTTTCCACTTATTATATGTTCTGGTCGCAGTGAATACGAGTTTTCGAATAAGTCGACACCAATATTGATTGGCTCTATTATATTCTTCGCCTCAATTAAATAACAACAATATTGACAAGGGTGTGTGATTGGGGCGAGGGCTTGACATGGTGGTGGGGTGGGGGAGCGGGGTTAGTCGAGTGGAATTTTGAGGTGGATATTCGTTCTTTATGTTTTGTATTTTTCTTTTCAGTTATTCATTATCTAATGAGGACCACAGTTGCAAATTTATGAAAAACAAAAAAAATAAAAATGTCAAAAAGTAAAGGTTGAGGAAGAAATGCCCAAAAGTTAAAGGTTGGGACAGCGGCGACAACTTACCCCACCTTTTACACAATGCGGAGTGATGGAAATTATACCCGTTACCTTTTTCTCACACGTTTTCTATTTTCTATATATTTCAACCTCCTTCCCCGCTCAACAGTGAGAATCCCAGAAATTTCAGAATGGAAAAATCTCAAACAATGGAAGCAATTACACCTCCGAATTCAAAACCCTCCATGTACCTCGAAGATATGGGAGAGGTAGAAAAGACTTTCAACCGCTTCGATGCAAACGGCGACGGCAAGATTTCTACCGAAGAGTTCAGCGGCGTAATGAAAGCCTTAACAGCCGACACCACAGCCGACGAGGTCGGCCACATGATGACAGAGATGGATACCGACAAGGACGGTTTCATAAATCTCCACGAGTTCGCCACCTTCTGTAAAGGCGAGACCGATCCATTTGCCGCCCCTGGAGACGGCGGCGAGAAGGAGCTGAAGGAAGCGTTCGAGCTCTATGATCAGAATCACAACGGCTTGATTTCTGCTTCTGAGTTACACGTGATGCTCTCGCGTCTAGGTGAGCGTTGTACTGTTAAGGATTGTTCCAGGATGATCAAGTCCGTTGACTCTGATGGCGATGGTTACGTCAACTTTGCAGAGTTCAAGAAAATGATGACTAATAGTAGTAACAACACGCCTCAGTCCAATTAACACAGAATTCAGCATGTTCGAAAGTAATTAGGGCCAAGTGCTTGGGCCGTATAAATAAAAATAAGATTTTCCCATAATTTCTTATTATATGTTGTAATTCCAGGGGAAAACTTTTGTGGAAATTGTATGAAGTTTTATTAGATCAGATGTGTATAGAATTGGTCAACCCCGAGGTCACCTTGGTAGTCTTGAAGACTCCTTAATCCCGAGGTTGAAAGTTCACAATAGACAATGGCAGATCCAAAAATATTGACGAGCTATGACGATTATTGATCGTTGATCGTCGAGTTGTAATAATGATATCGTTTATTTATATTTAATTAAATAATATTAAATGTCATGTAGAGGCAAATAAGAGTTGATGTAATCACTTTTGACAACCTCTCGAGATGTTTCTCCCAAAAACTCATAGGGTCTTGCTCATCACATATAGGGGCACACAGTTTTCGGAGTGATTTAGTCCTCGAAGGTATTACACTCGAGGTCTTGCACTTTGCATATGTCCTCAAGTATCCTTTCGATATACGAGATTCATGAGTCCTCGAGCTCTTCCCTTCATACCGAACACCTTTTGGTCAGGCCCATAAGAAGTCTTATCTTCTAAGGATTATAATTTGATACAAACACCTCAACAAGATTCCTACGTCCACTAGAACTCTATGTCAACAATAGCATTATTGGTCATGCAATTATATTACAAATAAAATACTCCTCTCAAGTATGACTTTATTGGATAAAACATCCAACTAATTCAATCTTACTAGGAGTACACTATCTACCACTATAAATACAGGACCCAGGACCCAGGTCCATTATTTAGGTACGTCTTTACATGCAATTTCAGCATATATCCTCACATATATTTTCCTTCTGACTTAAGCATCGGAGAGACGACGACGACACATCTCATTGCCTTTGTTGCAGTAATCGGAAGGCCTCATTCATGCTCTTTCTCAGTCCTCATGCTCGGGAGATCTACTAGGTATGATTTTTGGTAGCATCAGTGAAGTCGTTTGTGGGAAGCGCTATCAAAAGCCATGGTCAACACACGTTCAGGTCTTCCTCCAGCAAGTTCATCCATACCAAGCAATCCACTTGCTAAAGATCCACCAACTCCTCAAGAAGAACCATCAGAAATACCAGTACCTCAACCGCCATTTGTCACCACTTGAGCATTTGAGGAACTTCATCAACAAGTCATTAGCTTGACTCAGCTGCTGAACCCAAGCAGCACATCTACACCACTGACCTCGACACTAGAAAGTAGATTCATGGTCGATGCTCGAGCTCGAGGTTCCGTTTCTATTGTTGACGCTGTTGGGACCTCGGGCATAAAACCTACGGGCCCGACCTCGGGGTTGGTCTCTTGAACATCGTGGAAGGTTAGTCCATGTCGAAGAACTGGTAGAGCTCGAGCTCAAGCCTAAATAGAAAAATTACTCATGGAATGATCACAACTTGAAGCTTCATTGTAAGTAGTTGTCCTTGTCCCCAGTATGTAGATTGCTTAATTTGTGTCCTTTTGGCCTTGCGTGCCCTTAAGCAGTTCATTTTTAGAATTCGGGCCAAGTTGCCTTGAGCACTTACTTTATTGTGATATAGCAGTTTGCTTTTAACATCGCTTCATCTTGTAGACATACATTCAACAAAAGCCCTATCCCGAGCAGGCACCATAAAGCCCTGCCCTACGCAAGCACCAAAGCCTTGTCACGAACATGCACCATCAAAGCCCTGCCCTAGGCAGGTACACCAAAGCTCTGTCAAGAGCAGGCACCACAAAGCCCTGTCTCGCGTAGGCACCAAAACCCTGTCACGAATAGGCACATTAAAGTCCTGGCCCGAGCAGGCACCATCAAAGCCCTGTCATGAGCAGGCACATCAAAATCTTGTCTTGCGCAGGCACCAAAGCCCTGTTACGAGCAGGCACCTCAAAGCCTTGCCCCGTGCAAGTATCAAAGCCCTGTCCCACGCAAGCACATCAAAGTCCTGCCTCGAGCAGACACCATCAAAGCCCTGTCATGAGCAGGCACGTCAAAGCCCTGCCCCGCGTAGGCACCAAAGCCCTATTCCAAGCAGACACCTCTAAGCATTGCCCCGTGCATACATCTAAGTCTTGTCCCGTGCAAGAACCTCTAAGTCTCGCAATGAATTAAAGTAAAAACCCTAACCATGGGCCTATCAAGAGCTTGTCAAGCTCAACCTATTATCAAATTTATTGAGACACAGCTCGGGGTATTATTTCACGTTGGGCTCGGGGGCCTGTCTTCGAGCTCAACACATTGTCTACTTCCAACTGCAAGAGCTCGGTATAATTCTCTCACATTGGGTTGGGGCTATGTCCTCGAGTTCAATTCATTGATAATCCCAGCTACACGAGCTTGGGAAATTTTTTTCACATTAGGCTCGTGTCTATCCTCGAGCTCAATTCTTTTCCCAAATCTCAGCTAGAAGGGCTCGAGATAATTGTTTCACATTGGGCTCGTGCCTATCCTCCAGCTCAATTCTTTCTCAAATCCAAGCCACACGGGCTCGGGATAATTTTTTCACATTGAGCTCGTGCCTATCCTCCAACTCAATTCTTTTCCCAAATCCCGACCACAAAGCTCCAGATAATTGTGTCACACTGGGCTTGAGTATATCCTAGAGCTCAATTTTTTTTTTCCAAATCCCAGCTCATGCCTATCTTCAAGCTCAATTCTTTCCCAAATGCCAGCCACACGGGCTAGAGATAAATTTTTCACATTGAGCTCTTACCTATCCTCAAGCTTAATTCTTTTTCCAAATCCTAGCCACAAGAGCTCGGGATGATTGTGTCACGTTGAGCTCGGGGGCCTGTCCTCGAGTTCAATCCATTGTCAAATCCTAACCATAAGAGTTCGAGATAAGTCTCTCACATTGGCTCGAGACTATCCTTGAGCTCAATACACTGTCTAATCCCAGACGCAAAGGCTCGGGATAATTATCGCACATTGAGTTTGGGCTATGTCTCCTATATAAACCATTGTCTATTCGTCCAGCTCATTTTTTTCAAAGTTTTTAAACAAAGCTCGAGGTCGAGTCTCTTTCTTTCAAAATTTTTAACAAGGTAGGGATCAAGCCCTTCCTTTCAAAATTTATGAGCTCGTGGTCGAGCTCTTCTCTTTCAAAATTTTTAACAAGGTAGGAATTAAGCCCTTCCTTTCAAAATTTATTAACGAGCTCGAGTTCGAGCCTCTTTCTTTCAAAATTTTCAACAAGGCAGGGATTAAGCCCTTCCTTTCAAATTTTATGAGCTCGAGGTCGATCTCCCTTCTTTCAAAATTTTTAACGAAGTCAAGGTCTAGACCTTTCAAAATTTTAACAATGTTGGGGTTGAGCACATTCATTTTTTTTAAAAGAAGATTGATAACGAGCTCATTCCTTTCCAAAATTTCAAAGTGGTTGAAACTTAATCTCCTAGGTCTATGCGCTCAAGTGCCGATCAACTCGTCACGAGCATGCTACCTCTAGGCATGATCATGCCTAACTCTTTAGCATGACCATGCCTAATCTATAGCATCAACATGCCAACTCCTAAGCATGAGCATGACCACTTCTTGGCATGAGCTCGCCAACTTCTAAGCATGAGCATGACCACTTCTTGGCCAACTTCTAAGCATGAGCATGACCACTTCTTGGCATGAGCTCGCCAACTTCTAAGCATGAGCATGACCACTTCTTGGCATGAGCTCTCCAACTTCGAAGCATGAGCATACCTATCACCCGACATGCTTAGCATCTCATCCCAGAAACTTGCATATCACGCAAGCCTCTGGCATGGATGCACGGGGGCTAGTGATGTGGTCACTTTTGGCAACCTCCCAAGATTTTCTCTCAACTACCTACCACTATAAATACAGGACCTAGGTCCATTATTCAGGTATGTCTTTACATGCAATTTCAACATATATCCTCACATATATTTCCCTTTTGACTTAAGCATCGGAGGGATGAGGACACATCTCGTTGCCTTTGTTGCAGGTACGAAAGGCCTCATTCGTGCTCTTTCTCAGTCCTCATGCTCAGGAGATTTACCAGGTACGATTTTTGGTAGCATCAGGAGCAACTGAATTTTCTACAATAGCATCAATAGTAAAAAATCTCATTCAAAATTTATGCTTAAGCATGCACGACACATCGTTACAAAGATAACTATTTGATAAATGAAGCGCAATAATTTAAAAATATATATATTGAAATAAGTAGCATCAAGCACGAGAATTTAGAAAAAGTGATCATGAAGACAATAATTCCAACTTTACTTTTCCTAAACTCATTACCTCTAGAGCTGATGCAAATGCAAGATAAAATAAACTGGAAAGCTCAAATAATCTCACAAAAGCACCGATCATACTCAGAAGGTAAAAAATGGGAGTGCCCCAGATATCTAATTAAACAAATTTATTGGATCTATGGTGACACAGTGGGACCTGAATCTGAATGTCATTAACTTTAAATGTCAAATAAACTATTCCTTACTCTTACCAATTCTCTGTTTCTCTCTTCTAGCAAACTACTACACAATTCCATATAGCAGCTAAATTTATAGATAGTGATATGGCAATTTTTGGGTATGCTCGAACATTTATCCTAGGATATAATACTCAAGCACTTGCAGCCTTGTTGTATCCTCATTTCCACAATCCTGTCCTCGAGCAAGAGTGGTCCTCAGGATATATTCTCCTCAGATCCCACGACTGTTATTATTGACCCAATAGGATTCCTGTGTCGTTTGAACTCTAACTCTACCATATTACTTCAATACTTGGCTCCCGCAAGGATTCTATCGTAAACATAATCATGGCATTGGTCCAACTCCTTTACCTAATAGGACTTTGTTGGATAGAGATACCTAGTTAGTTGAGTCCTACTAGGATAATATCACCTATTACTATAAATACAGGACCATGGGTCATTGTTCAGGTACGTTTCCATTATTTCCAGTTTATAGCCTCACACACATAATTCCCTTTTTGACTTAATCATTGGAGGGGCGACGAGAACATACCTCGTTGCCTTTATTTCAGGTGCCGAAAGATCACGATCATGCTCATTCAAAGCCCTCAAGCTCGTGAAATCAACAGGGATGACTTTTGGTAGCATCATTGGCGCTGTCTGTGGGAAATGCTACCAAAAGCCATGGTTAACACACGATAGGTCTTCCTCTCACAAGCTCATCTGCTCTCATCCCTCATCCTGTTGAAGGTCAACCGGCTCCTCAAGAAGAGTCCTCAGGAGTGCCTGCACCCCAGTCGGTGGTTGTCACAACTGAAGCCTTCGAAGAGCTCCGTCAGCAGGTGGCCACGCTAA